CTCCGTGATTTCTCCTCAGACTCTATTCCCGCCGCTACTCTTAAATAATCATGTTGATTGACATGAGGACATGTCCTAAATAGTTTTCCACATCATGAGATAACTCCATCTATAGTGTAACTATGATTTAAAATGAAACAGAAATTAGTGATTCTTGCTTATCTCTAGAACTCTAAAGTGATAGCCTCCAAACTCATGTTTAAAAAAAGAATGGAGCTCTGGACGGGTGGCTCAAGGCTTAGAGTGCCGGCCTGTGCTCCGCAGGTTCGATCCTCGGCCTATGTATGGGAGGCAACCATTGATGCCTCTCTCTCTCACATCGATGTTTCTCTCTCCCTCCCTCTCTCCCTCCCTCTCCCCCTCCCTCCCATTCTCTCTAAAAGTCAATGGAAAAATATCCTTGGGTGAGGATTTACAAGGACAAAAATGAAGGATTAGAGCAAGAATTGTAGATCAGACCTTCAATGAAAATGAAGCCGAGGACTGCTTTTCTATTCATGTCAGAAACAGACTTGCCAACCTTGCCTTTTACCTTTTGGAAGATTATACGAGAACCAAGTTTGGCTATTAATTCCTTGGCAAGATTATGAACACTTCAGAGAAGGAACCAAGAGTCTCTTTTATACTTACAACGATCTGTGTCTCAATCTTACATCGATTAGAAATCTGACGGTTGCCCTGATGGTGTTGCTCAGCTGGTTGAGCATTGTCCTGTGCACCAAAAGGTCACTGGTTTGATTCCTAGTCAGAGCATGTACCCAGGTCCAGGTGTGTAGGGAGGCAGCCAATCAATGTTTCTCTACCTTTCTCTCTCTAAAAAATCAAGACCTATTTTAAAAAATCTGACAGTACTTCATAAATATATGCATACAATCTGCTGAATGCAGTTCATCTATGCAGAACTCTGAATAGTAGTCAAACCTTCCAAGAATAGAAGGACATGGAGAAATATCAGTTATATCTGTGGGAGTGGCACTTAGTTTATTTCTCGAAAATATTAAGGTAACAAACCCAACTTCAGAAAAGACGGATCACAATTTAAGGTGACCCAATTCCAAACACTTAGCACTTGCGTATCCTGAATATGAGCCAAGGACCCTAATTACTCAAAAATTGTGTATGGTAACAGTTACGAAGTACACAGAACTTTTACCTCAGGAAATATTTTCCAACTGAAATCTCATACTGAAAGCATCTTTCTAAAACATCAAGCCATCATTACAAAGATTATGTATTAGTTTTACTTTGTCTCTAAACTAGGTAGGCAATACAAAATGTAGACCTCTCAATATCGTTCTTTTTTTTATGTAAGAATGTAGTATGAATGTCACACGTAAATCGGCAAAGACATCGGAAAAGCTGTTTTTCCCCCTAATTGAATTCTATGATATAAAGATCATGAAACATTCTCTCAACATTCTCTCTGTTTTCAAAGATATTGAATAGGAAAAAAAAAAAAAAAAAGAGTGCATTTTTCTACGGAAATAAAAGAACCTGTTATGTGAATATGACATGACCTAGTATCCAGACAAAAATATAAAGTATTTGTATTGAATATAATTCTATAAATAAATTCAATCATTTCCATAAATGGGTAAAATGTTACTTAATAAGCTTTACAGCTGACTATATCATAGCTATTATGATATACCTCCGGCTTTCTGAATATACTACATTAGTAGATTCCTTTATCAGAAATTCAGCATATTCACCATGAAAAGTGTCTTAACAACTTTTCCCAAAATGTATATTTACTCATTGATATAAACACTGCCATCTAATTAGTAATCATAAATTAATTATCTATCATATTCTGGGTATCAGAAATACAAATATACATGACTATGCCTTCAAGGAGTGCATTTAAAAGCAGACATGTAAACACGCAAATTATAATACAGGCCATGAGAAAATAGATAAACATGTGTCTTAGATAAAATAATAATGCAGCCACCATTCTGCTTTGGGAGATCAATGAAAGCATCTAAGAAGCAGCAATTCCTGACCCCAGTCTTGTGAGAGATACACAATTCACTGGGAAAGTGAAACATGAAAAGAGAGAGGTTTTCCAGGTGGAAAGAATAAAGCTGTGTCATTTGAGGTCACTTGGTATGTTTATGAATATGCATCTAATGCTTGGATGACAGGAGCATTGGAGCCATGGAGAGGAGACTAAAGCCATGACTTGGTGCTACTCCATACAGAATGTTCTGCTAAGAGAATGAGTGTTCGGCTAGATCCTGTAAGCAACAAGGACATGCATTAGATTCCAAAGTGGGGCAAATAATCCACCTCGCTTCTCAGGGGAACCAGTCTGGTGCAAATGGAAAGAAAGACTGGCAAGAAAAGAGGCTGAACATTTGAGATCCCATAGGGGACTCTTCCAACTGCCTCCTCAAGAGATAAAAAGCGGGTGGAATCAAGAACATTTGATGCAGAAACAAATGTAGAAACCCATCAGACATATAGTGAGAGAAAACTGTGAGTTTTGATGTCAGCAAAATCATTTGCATCTAAACTGTTTTAACTTCCAGAACAGCAGATCTTAACCTATTAAGGTTACAGATCTACTTAAAAATCTGATGGAAACCATATTCCCACTCACATGTGTGCACATACAGAAACCTCCATTCATTTTCAGGAGGTCCATGCACGCTGGTTAAGAATTTCTGCTCGAGAGGAGAGTTCTGTCTGACTGAAATCTATTTCCATCGAAGCCGACAAAATACTTGGTACAAAGTAGGCCGTTCATAGTCCTTATTTAGTTGAACTGAATATTCTATTACAGACTGAATGGTTTCATTTTCACTAACATCCTGCATCACAGAACGCCCTCATGCCAACTACAGTCTGTAATTTAATATACTTTCTTTACCCACCCCTGAGTATACTTAACATAATCTCCCCTTTATCTTCGTGGTTTTTTGCCAGTCATAACTATTTATATCCACTCCTTCAAATTTGTGTTTATGTTTATAGTGGTATCACAAGAGAAGCAAACCAAGAAGCACCCTCCACAGGGCATTCCCTGGGAGAAGGCAACGAGAGGAACGGGCATTAGCAGTGATGCGATGGCAAGTGAAGAGTCCGGCATCTGTACCCTGTTGAACCGCCCACTCCATTTCCCCCTTCCTATGTATTCCTCTTCAGAGGAGGCCAAGAAGTTAGATCATTGCACATAACTAACACATAGCAGAGGGAGGAGGGGGAAATTATAGATAGTACGATTTCACTTGCCAAATACAAAAAAAAAATCAGAAAATGAAATATGCTTGTGCTCTTGGGAAGAGCTTCGAATGTGGGTCAGCATGGATGCCAAAGCCAGACTGCCTGGGACCCTGGTGCCCCCACTTATTGGCTGTGACCTGGAGCAAGTTATTTAACCTCTCTGTGCCTCAGTTCCCTCACCTATAAAACAGGATTAATAACAACACCTCACTTAACTATTGTGACGATTAACGAGTTAATATATCTAAGATGCTTAAAATCTGTATAAGTCCTACGTAAGTGCTAGGTGAAACAGTATTCTTTGGAGAAAAAGAAATCTTGTCAACAGTTAAAAAATTCAGAGAAATTTTTACCTATAAGGCTTAAAATGTTGAAGGAGAGTATTTAAATCTATGGTGACTGTCAAAGATTAATGTCTATTTCCCTGCTATTAGAAGACATCTGATTCTTCTTGTTGATTTAACTCCAATATAGTAGTGCAGTAACAGAAACAAGTGGGCATATTTCAGTACCATGCACATTTATGATGTATAATAATTTCCCAGAGAAAGAAAGAAAGAAAGAAAAAAAAAAAAAAAGCAGCACACATTTAACAGAATCGGAGCTGTCTTTAAAGACATGATGCCCGGCTGGTGTGGCTCAGTGACTGAACATCAACCCATATACCAAGAAGTCACCGGTTCGATTCCCAGTCAGGGTACATGCCCGGGTTGTGGGCCGGGTCACCAGCTGGGGGCACATAGAAGGGCAGCCAATCAATGTTCTCTCTCACTGATGTTTCTATCTCTCTCTCTCTAAAATCAATAAAGAAGACAAAATATTTTTTAATAAATAAATAAGGACATGAGAATGTGTGATGAAAGATTTTTGTCAGTGTAATCTGGTTCGAATGAACAGCGCTGTCACTCTTGAAGGTAAAGAGAAGTCACAAGAATGTAACAGCCACCCCAGCAGCCGAGCTGTAAAGGCCAGGGTGGCTTCACTGGCGGCACAGTGCCCTGCCACCCTGCCAACTAGCTGATGCTATGTATCAAAGTTCCTAGGACGGACCTAAAAGCCTCATTTGTGTGTGACTGCCGCTTACGCTTCAGCAAAGATGCTATGCTGCCTTCTTCCTTCTCATCCGTGAAACCACAGTTTCCCAGTAATCTAGACCCCAGGACGAGAGGCCAGAGAAATTAGCCCGAGTTTCAAATTCTGGAATAGGTTGTGCCAGGGAATTACTGAATTATCAAAACAACAGCATGAATGGGACAGGTAGAAATTAGTGCGGTCACATTAGAAAATTATCGTCTCTATGAAATATATCCTTCTACAATATTTCCAGTACTTTAAGGAATCCTGGAACCTAATCTGAGCAAAGCAAAAAAATTTTTAAAAAAACAATGATTTATTATGGCAGAAATCTTCAAACTGTGGTGGAACTCTGTCTGGAAAGATCTTTTATTAGAAATAGCATGACATTTAACTTTGCTGCTGACTAATTTTAAATGTTAGTTCCGAATTATTCTTATATTTACATGTTTGTTTTAATGCCTCAAATTAATTTGTAAGTCTCTCAAAAGCAGAATTCTTGGGTTAAAAAAAGGATCAAATCTTTTACTCCCTACTGAAAGCAATCTACTTATTAAAAAGTCTAAGATGTTAGGAGTGAATCTTGTGTATGGCTATTAAGTAGATGATAATTATAAAGCAAAGGACTGAAGCCAAGCTATCAGAAGACTGGACTGGTTGAAAAGTGAGTGTAGGCACAGCAGACCATGAGAACCTACCATTGTACTGTGCTGAGAAGTGGGAGTCCTATGGCCACAAGTCTCTTGCGTCAGCAGAGAAACTGGCTGAAGTTCCTCAGAGTGAGGCTTGTTGGGAAAACTCACATGCAAGGGAAGGTGAAAGGCTGGGAGCCCGTCACTCTCCTCTTCTTCCACTTTCTGTCTGCTTGTCACCATGGCTACCTCTCCATCTGCTTCCCCATACGGAGAGGCTGGTCGCTTGGAAGACATCCTGGAAGGAACAAAAGAGGAGAAAATAATGAAACCTCCACATAAATCCTTAATGCCGTCATTGTGTGGTGAGGGGCCATTGTAACAGAAATGCCTTTTTGTGCTGGCAGAGAGCAGGAAACCATCCAAATACCACTGCAAAGCACACACAATCAGAAACAATGGCCAAGCAGGTAGCAACAGAACAGTGCTTGTTTGTTGTGAGAATAATACACTAATATAGCACTCTCTTGTATTCTGGCTTCTTAAACAAGAGAATTCACCTAAGAATACTGCATAATGAAAGACCATTCCATTTTAAAGAAAAATACCCATCTAGTTTTACACTTTGATAGACCTTATTGAAAGCAGAACATCTATGAATAGCAAATACAGTTGGGAATTAAAAGAAGAGAAATAACCAAAACGTTATTTCATCAAAAAATAAACAAAATAAAGAAATGATTGGCATTATGAACATTTGCATTTTGTTAAAAGTAAGATTATTGTGAATACAGATATTGGTTATATAGAAATCCCAGAACACACGATGGAAAGTTTAATATTTTTTTAAAGCTTAGGAATTGAATAAATTTTACAATCACTGTTAATCTTGAAACATTTAAGAAATTTTCTTCTCTCAACTTCTAAATCATCCAACTTAGGCATTTAGTTCTAATATCTAATTTGCAAAATAGTAAAAGAGAGGAGAATATAAAAATATTTCAAGTTCATTTCCACAGTTCTATGAAAAAATTAAAAATAGTTGATGAGAATTATTTACTTCCTAGATAACTAAAAGTAAGAGAAAAAATAAATAAATAAGAATGTTTTGTTTGGCTAAGCTAATGCCTATATGATAAAGCATTTAGATAACAACAAAAATTAAATGATTTCTGTACTTACATATGATTGAGAATACATTCAGATGTTAAATATATGTTGGAAATAGTTTTAGCTAAATAGAGAGTTCCTTTTTTTTCATTAAAAGTTTACATAGATGTACATAGAGTGAACATTAAAAAAAAAATACTCTTCTATTTACCATTTGATATGACCTTGAAAAAGCTGTAAGTTTTGTTCAACATGCAAAGAGTGTTTACAGAATCATCCATTCTTGTCTAGACTAGTGGGACAGGAGGCAGGTATTAACCAACTACAACACCGCTTCCTTCATATATATCACTGGGTTTTAAATTTAAAATATAATACTAAAAGAGATGCCATTAATCTTTCTTGAATAATATTATTCTTAGTGTTAGAAGTTTCAAAAGAAAAGTATCAGAGTACTAAAGATACTCTATTAAGAAATAATAGCACTGTAGAATAAAAAAAAGGCTTTGGAAGCAGACAAGCATGGATTAAAAAACTGATTCCACTACTTATAAATCGTGAGACTTTAATCTCTCTACCTCAATTTGCTCACCTTTAAAGTGAGAAATAATATCTATTGCAATGCTGTTTGAGAATGAACTGTGTACCACACGAAAAATGACTGGTAGTGCATTAAGCATGGAGTCGACACTCAATAAACAATAGCTGTTGTTTATTCTACAAACTTTAAAACGACAGTAGGACTCACACCCTTCTCAAAAACAAAACCATAAAACTCCAAAATGAGGAAAGCAGGTTGTCTTCTAAGAGTTAAACTGTCAAGTCAACATTAAATACAAAGCCGCCTAATGGCGAAATGGTCCTTGGCCAGTCATACTTGACAATAAACTGATGCAATGAATTAGCAAGAGTTAAAGAAGAGATGTTAATAGTAGGGGTCTTGATCAGCGGAAGGACAGAGAAAGAAGAGCGAATGTTGGTGGCTACCACGTGAGCACAGTCTGAAGAAGTAGACTGAGCTCCCGCATTCCAGGTATCTTTAACGATTCCTGGCTCATGGCCAAGGTTTACTTCAACTATACTCTTCAGTATGGAGAAAGGAAATCAAGGGCTGCAGTTACCAGGCTTAGAATAGTCTCAGTCTCACTGGCAACACATCTCTCTCACCAAATGGATATATTAGACTCGACACAATAACTCCAAGCACTAGGGATAGTTCACTTCCACTGTTCTGCTTCTGTGCCTCCCAAGCAAATGTGTGATTCCCATAGAACAATGGGCTGACGGAACAGATTTAAAATATTTTAAGGTCTTTGTGATTTATCAGAATAAATCAACAAAGGAATTTTTAATTATTTCTTGGTTTCCCACGCAGTTTGACTTCAAGGAGATTATGCATTTATTATACAAACATAGTATTTATGGTTTGCATGGGCATTATCATTCTTGCTGGAATTACTACATTGGTTTTCTGGTGTCTACCTCAGTCTTATGTACAGTCTCCTACTGTCTGAAATGCTAGGCTATTGACAAGAGCCAGGTTATCAAAGCAGAAAGCTCAATCAGCTGGCTTTTTCTAAATTAATATACAATTCTGTGACTTTCAGAAGGCATGGCTTTTTTTTGCTGACTTCCACTTTGTAAATATAATTATTAATAATGATTATAAAAAGTAAAAGTCCAAAAGTAGACATTAGGCAGATACTTATCATTACTCTTTTCAAAACTTCTAGTTATTTCAATATCTAAGCTATTTTTTGTAAGGCATTTTTAAAAATTATCTTTATTGTTGAATATTACAGATGTCCCCCCTTTATTCTCCCAGTGATACTTTCCTTCCCACTCCTGTCCCCTCTGCCTTCATCACACTGTCGTCTGTGTCCACTGGTTGTGCATATATGCATATAAGTTGTTTGGTTTATCCCTTACCACACCTCTACCTCCCTTCCCTCTGAGGTTTGTCAGTCTGTTCCCTACTTCCATGTTTCTGGATCTATTTTGTTCATCAATTTAATTTGTTTTTTACATTCCACATATACGTGAGATCATGTGATACTTGTCTTTCTCTGACTGGCTTATTATATACAACTGGATAAACATTCTATATAAATATTTATATCCATATAAATATATATATATGAATATATATAAATAAATATTTCTATGAAGCAAAAATTACAAGGACTGAAACACTGAACATGTAGGAGTCATGATGCCAGAGAGCCATGATCCTGAAAGATGACACATTTCATGTTTATTTCAATTCCATTTTCAGAGACTTACTGAACGTTCTTTATGTGTTGAACTTGAGAGTATTTTTCTACAATTCACGTAAAAGATTTTTAAAATTAATATAATAAAATAGCCATAGTTATAGTTCAATAATAGGCTACCAAGTCAGAAAATGGTAACGTACACAACAAATTATGAACAGAGCTATCAATCTGTCAGTCACATTGTTCATGTTTCGTCTGACTTATACTACTTCTAAAAATATTGATAACAAAATTACCAATAACTTTAGATCCTTAAATGTTTGTTCTTCTACTAAAGGATTTCATTTTAGACAGAGAACGTCTCATTCATTTCTAGGGAGCATTCAGAAAGCACTGCAAATTTCCACATTTTGCCTCCCTGGGATATGGAGGTTTCAAACTCCTGCAGCTTAAACTTCATGGCTGTGTTGCAGTACAGGGCACCAGGGAGCAATGTGAGGATCTAGGGTAGAGTGTGCTCTTTTACATTCATCAGAGATGATTCTTGTGGTTCCTATGGCAGGAGCTAGACGTATCAACGAACAAGACTCAGACTTCAAAGAAATTGACATGAGACAGATAAATATGATCCAGTGTAGAACTCACTGGTGGTGCTATAATGACCTAATAATAATCTTTAACTCAGTTTTGTGTGTGGACAAGAAAATCTCGAAAAAACTGATGTTTAATTCCCTGACTAAAGGGAATCTCAAATCATAAATAATTTGCTGACCATCTCCTATGTGCAAGGCATTTATCTAATGCAAATTAAAACATGTAATTCAGGTTCTCAACTTTAAAAAATTTATGAACATGTTGAGAAGATTTTAAGTAACGGAGGTAAAACAATGAGAGACAGTTCTAGTTAAGGGTAAAATGACGTTAGAACCAAGCATCTGAGGGCTTCCTGAGGGCCAGAGCATCCTGGGATGCTTCAGGGAATGGTTGACCAGTGAGATTTTAAGGAAATGGCAGATTGGAAATTCAGAGATAAATGGAGAGGAAAATTCATGTAGAAAGTACTGGTAAAAGCAAAGATTCAGAGATACTTTTAGAAAGCACAACACAAATTTAGCTTTCAAGCTTACTTTAAAAGGGGGGGGGGGGACACTGAGGAATATGATGAAATCCCATCTTTGGTCTACAACGTTCTTTCAGTTGCTGAGTTACATGAATGGGACAGGTAAAAAACGCCTCCCTTGCAAGGGGCAACTTGCTTTCACAAGGAGTCGCTGTTCCTTTACTTGTCCCTGGATCAATCTGCACCATCAGGCGACTGTAGTTCATATGTGAACGTGATTTTAGAACTGCTGGAGTCCTCTGCTACTGGCTGAAGGCTCTGTAAGTGCACCATGATCACTATGTGAGCAGGATGTCCCCAGGTGTATTTAGACATGTGTAGCAAACTTAGCACAGGGGAAAGGGTATGAAATTGCAACAGAAAACTAAACCAGTGGTTCTCAAACTTGGCTGCACATTCGAATTATATGGAGAGGTTTAAAAAGACTGCCGCCTGGAGAGCATTCTGAGATTATTGTTGTTGTTTTTTAGTACACACCGGGGTATTAGAGTTTTTTAAAGCTTCCAGGTGAATTTTGCTTTAGTCAGAATAATGCCCCTCATTCAAGATGTCCAGACCCTAATCCCCAAAGCCTGTGCATATGTTACTTTACAAGGCAAAAAGAGGCTTTGCAGATGTGACTAATTTAAGGATCTTTCTTGAGATAAGGAGACTATTCTGGAGATTCTGGGTGGGCCCAAAACAATCATAGAGTCCTTTACAAAAGGGCAAGGCAAGAGGCTCGTAGTCAGAGAGAGAGAGGACTCAAAGATACTGTGGGACTGGCGTTGAAAACAGATGATGAGACCATGACCCAAAGAATGTAGGTGGCCTCTGGAAGGTAGGAAAGCAATGAAACAGTGTTCCCTGGAG